TAATTTTGGTTTTATTTTTGGTTTTTGGTTTTTAAGAGATTCAACCGAAACCAAACCAAAATATATTTGATTAATACCGAAACCAAAAAAATAAAACCAAAAACCGTTGAAACCGAACCAAATTCATTTTTTCGATTCAATTCTTGGGTAAACAATCGGTTCGGTTAAAAAATGCCCAGCCCTAGTTGCTGCATTGGGTGGGACTTGGGAAGGGAAGCTGATAGATTTAGACATAGATAAATTTGAAAAAGTTTGCAAAGTTGTGCAATTTGCATCACTTGTTATCATTCAATAAATTTAAAATGTGATTTAGAGTTCGATATAAAAATAAATTAAAAGATGTAGATATACTATGCACCCCATTGAAGTTCTCAATTATGACCTTTAACAAGCTCTGTTTCACTTGTATAAAATTATGGAATTTGAAATTTGGTTTCCACGCCCATAACCGTAAAATTATAACTATTTCTTCTGTCAATTTTTGGAAAAATTTTTGTGTAGTGTACCTTTTGGACTTTCTATTTTGCTTAAGTGAAAACTTAATTCAATTTTATATTAATAAAAATAATCTAATTAAATTTATTATGTATATTAGGGTTTTTTTTAAAATTCATAATACTCTTAATACAAATTTACATTTAGTATAATGGTTAAATTGCCATTTCTTTTGGATGCCGTTAAATTGTCAATAATCAAACCTTAAGCTGTTGAAAAACTTAATTGAAGGAAAATGGGGATCTTAAACATGTTGCCAATATTTTGAGTTAAAAGTCACCCAATAACAAGTGAATCCATGTCTCTGTCCTAAATCTTTAAAGAACCAAAAAATTGAACCTAATAAATTACTTTATGCAACTTGAGCATTCTTTAAAGCCCAACAATACATTGTTAAAAGGCCAAATTCTGCAAACAAAACCCATAACTACACTACATTGCGAACGGGTCGGCTCCAAAAGGCCCATTTTGTTTATTTCAGATACCGGCCTTGAAACCCAAATTTCAGTTGTCTACCCTGATACCCCCACCTTCCACATTCTCTTTTCGCTACACTGGTGGTCATGGTCGTGGTCGTGCCTCCTTCAACTGCCAACAGCAAATACATTCCAACCACGATCTTCCTCTAATTTCCTCCACGAGAGTTATATAATTCAGCATCCAGTGGCATCTAGGACTTCCAATTATTTTTGATTCTTTGCTTCTTAAAGTTTCTCATTCCGTTCCTTCAACTTTGCTATTTGGTGGATGTTTAATTAGTGGAAAACTCAAAACCATCAATAGTTTGAGAAAGGGTCATAGTGGTACACGTGCTAGGATTACGCTCATGCAATTCGTATATAGAAAACAAAATCAACAAAGCAAGGTAATGGTTCAATCCCCACATTCTGTCTTCTTTTTTTTTTATTTTTTTTGTTTGTTTGTTTGTTGGCCAAATCCCCACATTCTGTTGAATTCTAACAAATAACACACTGAATTGATACTAACTTAAATTCTTCTTCTCTCATTCAATAACCCCAGCATAGGCGTGGGTTCCCCTAGTGTTGGAATAGGCCCAACATCTAGACAGGACTGTGCATAACGGGCCTAGACTACCGCCCACTAGCCCAAGTTGAGGGAACACTAATGCAAGCACACCCACGTGACCAGCACCACGTGGGCCAATGAAATCCTTACATGTACAGATGCATGTCAGCACTTGGGGCTATAAATACCCCCCAACTACCTCCGAGAAAGGTAATGAATCTCTACGCTTCTCTCTCTGCAATTACTCCTTGAGAGCATCTCTCTCTAGAATATTGAGTATTGCTGACTTGAGCGTCGGAGTGTTTTCCCTGAGGAAACATCCTTGGGATTTTCAGGTGTAGAAGCAGCTAAGAACTTCAACAGGGTTGGACTACGAAGCTGCCCAAACATTTGGCGCCGTCTGTGGGAACGTGAACAAGAAGTTGTGTAGCTAAACTTGCTGAAGGACAAAATGGTTCGTACTTTTACCCGAAACCAGCTCCCAAGAAACCAAATGGACGAACAGGAGGACGCTCAACTGTCTGAGCCTGGTTTGAATGACTTTAGGCCAATGCCAAGGAACCTTTTCGTCGGAGGAGCAGAACAGGATTAGTTGAGTGAAACAGACGATGACGAAAGAACACCAACAGGGTATGCAACCCAGCCGGAACAGTTCCAAATTCCAACAGGAACAAGACAAAGACCTTCTAGACCGTACAATTCACAACATGAACGACCTGAAAGGTCAACAGAACCTGCTCGGACAACCGAGCTTGAAGAGAGAACCATAATTCTCGAAATGGCAATGGATAAAATCCTTGCCCGCTTGATCCCTGATGACCCCCTGATTCCATTGTTGAACAGGGATGCACAGCCAGCTACGGTTGTTGCAACTCGAAACTCCCCCGCTCTAAGCAACATAGTAGTGCCGACCAGGCCGAGGAGAAGTGGGAAACTGAATATCGAGCCCAGCTCGTCCAAACATAGTGAAGAACTGATGAGAAAGAACGCAGACCTGGAAAGGCAGTTAAGGGACGTACAGAAATCTATTGACGAGCTGAAAAGTCCCAGGTCGCACCAACAGACTCTGGATTTGGATAGTGCCCCTTTAAACCTATCCATCAGAGCAGAGCCGTACCAAGAGGGATTCAAGATTCCCCACCTGGAGACATATGATGGCTCGGGCGATCCTGATGAACATCTGCACGCTTATCAAGCCATCATGAGAATTCAAAATGCAAATGATGCCATGATGTGCAAAGTGTTCCCAGCAACACTCAAGTCAACAGCCAGGAGATGGTATCATAAACTCCCTAGACACTCCATAGATTCTTATTCCCAGCTCGCCAAGCTATTCTCCAACAAATTTGCAAGCCAAAGGGAGATTAAACGCACGGCGATCGAGCTTATGCAAGTTCATCAGAAAGAAGGGGAATCTTTGAGGGACTACATGCAGCGATTCAACAAAGCCACTTTAGACATTGATAACGTCCCAGATACCATCTGCCTATCAGCTTTGCTGCACGGTTTAAAGCCCGGTCGGTTCCTAGACGACCTGCTCAAAAACCCACCGAAGACGTGGAATGAAGTGAATGACAGGTCAGCTAGCTTCATACTGTCCGAAGATTTTCAGTCGTCCAAGCGACGAGCTGACGATAAACAGAGCAAAGGCCAGGAACAACCACCGAGGAGAGAAGAAAAGAAAAAGCAAAAGGTCAACGAGCAGTGGGGGAAGCCCGCTGACTTCCCAAAGTATGCCAATTACATTCCTTTGACCTTGCCTAGGTCTCAAATCCTGGCACAAATCCAGCACTGGGTTAGGAGACCCCCGCCACCATTGCATGATTTCCCAAGGGCGGACAAGAGCAAACATTGTGACTACCATCGTGTATACGGTCACAATACAGAAGATTGTCAACACTTAAAGGACGAGCTGGAGTTCTTGGCTCGCAATGGAAAGCTAGAAGGATCTGTTTAGAAGCTCCACACTCAGCAACCTGCTCAAGCTCATTTCGTACAGGGATATGACCGACCTCAGGGGCAGAGGTACCAGCTCGGCGGCGCTCAAGAGGCATATCAGGATAACCAGTATCCTTTTGAGCAAGGCAGGGCATACAGGGGGCGCCAATTCAACAGGCGAGGCCAAGGACAGAGAACTACTACCCAGAGCCAAAAAGACAGGAAAGGGGTGGGTTATGCTGAGATACCCCCGCCCTCCGGTACAATAAATATGATATCAGGCAGTGTTCACTCTGGAGGCCAAAGCGCCAGAGGTCGCAAGGCGTATGCACGCCAGGTGATGACTGTTAATAAAAACAGGCCTTTGAAACGCTCGTTTGAAGAAGCAGAGTGGGAAAATACACCCATTACATTCAGCCCGACGGACTATAAGCAGGCAGAAGGGGAGCCCGACGTTATGATGCCACATGCAGATCCTTTCGTGGCAACGGTTCATATAGGCAACCACAATGTCAACAAAGTCTTTATTGATACTGGTAGTTCACCAGATATTCTGTATTGGAGTTACTTCTAGAAAATGCAGCTAAATCCGGGCTCACTGCAGAAGCACGAAGGGCCTATATACGGGTTCGACAATCAGCCCGTCCCGGTTGAAGGAGTCGTCACTCTTCCCATCTACGTGGGCTCGGAACCACGGTTCAGGATGGCTTCCGTCACCTTCCTGGTCGTCAAGATGGAGTCGGCTTTCAACACTATATTGGGAAGAGCCACTCTTTGCGAGCTGAAGGCTGTCATCTCACAACCCCACCTTTGCATGAAATTCCCAACTCCTCAGGGGATAGGAGTGCTTAAAGGGAATCAGAAGATGGCAAGAGCCTGCTACCAAGATACTTTCAAGAAGGTTGAGCTCGCTGCTGCCCCTAGAAGTTCTGAAAGCCACAGACCAGCCCAACTCGGTCAGCAGACAATGAGCATATCAGATATTGAGCACCGACCTGAGGGTGTCGAGCAGAAGGCAGAGCTAGTGGAGCCAATAGAAACAATCCCTCTAAACCCTGATGTGCCCGAAAGGACGGTTAAGATCGGCACCAAGCTCACAGAAGAGGACCGGGAAGAGCTTCTGGAGTTTTTTAGGGTTAATCAGGATGTGTTTGCGTGGACTACGGATGAAATGCCTGGTATCCCAGCGGAGTTAATGGTCCACAAGCTCAACACGGAGCCCACCAGAAAGCCGATGGTTCAGAAGCGTCGCCTTTTTGGCCCTGAGAAGCAAGCTGCCATAGACGACGAAATACAAAAGCTACTACAGGCAGGCTTCATCAGAAGAGTCGAATACTCTGAGGGGGTGTCCAACCCTGTGCTAGTCAAAAAACAAAATGGCAAGTGGAGAATATGCATTGATTTCACCAATTTAAATGAGGCGTGCCCGAAAGACCCCCATCCCTTGCCAAACGTCGAGAAGCTAGTAGAGTGGGCAACCGGACACGAACGTATGAGCTTTCTTGATGCCAGCTAGGGTTATCACCAGGTCCAACTGTTGCTAGACGACCAGGAGAAAACAGCTTTTTACGCTGGTGATGCAATCTACTGTTATGTCATGATGCCGTTTGGCCTGAAGAATGCTAGTGCTACGTATCAGAAACTGGTACAAATCATCTTTAAGCTCCAGATCGGCAGAAACATAGAAGTATATGTGGATGACATGATAGTCACCAGTGTACGAGCTGAAGATCACATAGGCGACCTGAGTGAGACCTTTCAAAATTTGCGCTGAGCCCAAATGAAGCTAAATCCCCTGAAATGCACATTTGCTGTATAGTCGGGCAAATTCCTAGGGTACGTGGTATCCAAGAAAGGAATTGAAGTAAATCTAGAGAAGGTTCAGGCCGTTCAGCAGATGGAGCCTCCCAAAACTATCAAAAATGTGCAGCGTTTGACGGGCCGTGTTGCTGCACTGCATCGATTCATAGCCAGGTCGGCAGAGAGATGCCTCCCGTTCTTCAAAGCCCTACGAGAGCCCAAGAATTTTCAATGGACCGATGGGTGTCAACGGACATTTGACGAGCTCAAACAATATCTGGCATCAGCACCCCTGTTGTCCAAGCCTGTGGAGGGGGAGAGCTTATATCTGTACTTGGGGGTCACAGAAGAGGCGGTGAGCTCGGTCTTACTCAGAGAAGAGAATAAGAATCAAAAGCCTATCTACTATGTGAGCAAGGTCTTACAAGGTGCCGAGCAGAACTACCCACTAGCAGAAAAGACTGCTTTTGCTTTGGTCTGCACAGCTCGTAAGCTGAGAGCTTACTTTCAATCTCATCAAATTGTTGTCTATACTGATTTGCCATTGAGGAAGATATTGCAGAAACCGGAACTCTCTGGTCGGCTCATCGAATGGAGCGTCGAGCTGAGTGAGTACGACCTCAAATTTCAACTGCGCACGACTTTAAAAGGCCAAGCAGTGGCAGACTTCCTGGTGGAATGCGTCTCGGCGACTATGAAAGAAAAGGCACTCGAACATCCAGTCTGGGTTTTGTATGTAGATGGAGCTGCAAGTGTTGAAGGATCGGGGGCCGAGGCTGTGCTGTTGGGGCCAGATGGCTTTAAATCCGAGCACGCGCTGAGGTTTAAGTTTCAAACAACTAACAATGCTGCAGAATATGAAGCCCTCATCTATGGCTTGAAGCTGGCGTTCGAGCTGAAGGTACAGAGCATTCAGGTTTTTAGCGACTCTCAGCTCGTTGTGGGCCAAGTGAATGGCAACTGTGACATTAGAGATCCCCAGCTTTCTCGTTATGCCTCCGTGGTAAACAGGTTAAAGTCAAGATTTGCTTCCTTCCAGATCGACAAGATACCCAGAGCAGACAACCAACGAGCTGACGAGCTGTCGAAGTTAGCCTCCTCGCAAGAGACCCACCCTCATAGGTCAACAATAGTCGAGGTACTCAACGCTCCGAGCTACACCGATTTCACAGTCGAGTGTCAACTGCTCAGTACAGATCCCTCTTCATCGAGTTGGACCTCACCGAGTTGGACCACTCCGCTCATAAATTATCTGCAAAGTGGCGAGCTACCGGAAGATTCATCCGCTGCAAAGTTAACTAAACGGAGGGCGGCACATTTCACTTTGTTAGATAACCAGCTCTACAAACGAGCAGCCTCAATGCCCCTATTACGTTGCCTTACTCCTTACGAAGCTAAATACGCGGTGAGGGAAGTTCATGAAGGAGTATGTCGCACGCATATTGGTGGCAGAACTTTAGCTCGGAAACTCCTGAGGCACGGTTATTACTGGCCCACTATGGTCGAGGATGCGCAAAACTATGTAAAAAAGTGCCCGACCTGCCAATTCAATGCTAACAATATCCACATGCCAGGTATCCGAGCTCGTTCTAAAGTTTGTGCAAACTTTGTGTTTGTCTATAAACTGAGCACAGGTATCTTTGTTAAAACAGGAGAAATGCTCTCCTCACTCTCGTCTCCTTGGCCTTTTGCTCAATGGGGAGTCGACCTGCTCGGCTCTTTCATGAAAGGCAAAGGAGGATGCACTTACCTCGTTGTCGCGGTGGATTATTTCACCAAATGGATAGAAGCTAAACCATTGTCCACGACAACAGAGAAGAAAATAGAAGAATTCCTGTTTAATTCAATACTATGCAGGTATTTTTCGGTGACTTAGGGTATTGGTGCATTATATGTAATTATAATTCGTGGCTCAGCTCGGACATCTGTTTCCAGGTTCGGCATACCTAAACGGATCATAGCGGACAATGGTCCGCAGTTCTGAGCCGCGGCACTGAGGTCGTTCTGCAATGACTATGGAATTGAGCTCGCCTTGACATCTGTGTATACTCCACAATCCAATGGGCAAGCCGAGTCCGCCAATAAAATTGTCTTGTGAGGCCTCAAGACGTGTGTTTTGGCTGCACATACTAATTGGGTTGACGAGCTCAATAAAGTGCTGTGATCATGTCGCACTACACCCAGCTCGGCTACAGGCGAAACCCCGTTCAGCCTGGCGTACGGAGCTGAGGCAGTCATCCCTGTCGAGGTCGGATTGCCATCCGATAGATTAGATTGTCATGATGATCAGAATAATGGACAACTCTTAAGAGAGAACCTAGACCTTGTCGAAGAAATCAAGGAGATGTCTCGAATAAGAAACATGGCACATCAAGTCGTGTTGCAAAATTTTACAAAAAGCGAGTTCGAGCTCGTCAGTTTCAGGTTGGCGATCTGGTTCTACGCAAAGCTGGATTAACCAATACTTATTCACACATGGGCAAGCTCGCTCCTAATTGGTAAGGCCCCTACATGGTTGTTCAAATTAAACGACCTGGATCTTATGTGTTAGCAGATATCCAAGGACGACAGTTGCCTTACATTTGGAATGTACACAATCTTAGAAGATTTTACAGTTAATGTATGTGTTGTTAACGAATTCGTTCGTGGAAATATAAATTGCACATGCAATGTAATACAGAAGAACAGTTTGATATAATTTTCAATTTTGTATTTCTTTTCAAAAACAATTACACATTTCGGTACGAGATAGCAATACAATTGTTTGTGAAAAGAAACAAAAATACAAAAGAACAAAACAAAAAAAATTCTAAGTCTAGTCATCCGTCAAATCGACGGGCATGGACGTGTCAGCAACCGTAGCAGGAGGAGAGCGAGCTGGAGAAGACTGGGCTGCGGTCTCGGGAGCTGGCGCATTAACGGGTGAACTGCTCAGCATCACAGCGGGCTGAGAGTTGGGGGGAGTGCTCGATGGCTCCTGTTCGGCTATAGGTGATGAGCTAAATTTATATACATATTAATAGGGAATTTTTACTTTGATATTATTGATATTTGCATGAGTTTTATGGGATTTTGTTTGATTTTACATGGTTTTCATTCTTTGTGTAGGAAAGGATTTAATTGGAAGAAATCCTACTTTTTAGAAGTAAATTGAAGAGATTAGAGACTTGAGGATCAA